CAATTCTTTTGGTTTTTGGTCAGTATTCAATGCTTCAAATCTATTCTGTAAATAGTCTTTAAATTCAGAAGGGATATTACCAAAGTCATACTTTGGCTCTTGTGGACTTCCTTTAATTATCTTCAGCTTCAACTTGAACTTGCATATGAGCAGTTGATGGTCTGTTCCACAATCAGCTCCTGGGCTTGTTTTGGCTGAAGGTATTGAGCTTCTTCACTGCTTCTTGCCACAGATGTAATCAATTTGATTCCTGTGTACTCTGTCTGGTGAAGTCCATGTGTATGGCTGCCATTTGTGTTGTTGAAAAAAGGTATTTGCAATAAATAAAGTCATTGGTCTTGCAAAATTCTATTATGTGATCTCCACCATTATTTCTATCACCAAGGTCATATCTTCCAACTACTGGTGATTCTTCATTTCCAACTTTTGCATTCCAATCACCAGTTATAATTAACACATCTTGATTGCACATTCATTCAATTTCAGACTGCAGAAGTTGGTAAAAATCTTCAATTTCCTCATCTTTGGCTTTGGTGGTTGGTGAATACATTTGAATGATATTAGTATTAACTGGTCTTCTGGGTAGGCTTATAGATATTATCCTACCACTGACAGCACTGTACTTCAGGGTCAATCTTGATACATCCTTTGTGATGATGAATGCCATGCCATTCCTCTTCAATTTGTCGTTCCCAGCATAGTAGATCATATGACTGTCTGATTCAAAATGGCCAGAACTAGTCCATTTCAGCTCACTCATTCCTAGGATATCAATCTTTATGCATTCCATTTCATTTTTGACAACTTCCAATTTTCCTAGATTCATACTTTGTACATTCTGTGTTCTGATTATTAATGGATGGTTGCAGCTGTTTCTTCTCATCTTCAGATGTGCCACATCAGCAAATGGAGGTCCTGAAAGCTTTACTCTATCCACATCATTATGGTTGGCTCTACTCTGAGGCAGCTCTTTCCCAGTTGTATTTGAGTGCCTTCCAATCTGAAGAGCTCATCTTCTGGCACTATATTGGACAATGTTTCAGGGCTATTCATAAAGTTTTCCAGTAACACATCAGATAGTGTTTCACTGCTATTCATAAGGTTTTCACTTGCCAATTCTTTGAGAAGTAGATGGCTTCTTCCTTCTTCTGAGTCCACCTTAGTCTGGTAGCTCTGCTGAAACCTGTCCACCATGGGCAACCCTGCTGGCATCTGAAACACCAATGGCATAGCCTCCAGCCTGACAGCAACATGCAAGCCACTACAGTATGACAAAGTGACAGACAAGTTTGTCTCCTTTAGCTATTCCAAACTGCTCTGCCCACTTCCAGGTCTCTCGTACCCTGTTTGCTCACCCAGCCTGCCACTGGGTGCTCCAAACACCGACCTTCTGCTGCGCCCTGCTCACTTACCCGACCTGTCCCCAGGCACTCCAAACACCCAACAAAGGACTAGAGCATGCCAACTATTGTGAGGCTGATGAAGGAGCAGTCAATGTTTCATTCTGTTGTACATAAGGGTGCAATGAGTTGGATTAGACTTGATGGCATCCATCCATCCATCCATCCATCCATCCATTCATTCATCATGCATACCTATCTAGGATCTGTGTAAGAATAAATCTGTGTCTACACATTAAGGGCTCTCTTAGGGATGTTACTATGCTTATTTATCACACTATATTGATATTGTCATTGCAGTGCAATGAATTACTTACTATGGCTCTTCTAGACAAGGTTTTTGTGACTCTCACCAGATGACTGGGTTTAACTATGCAAATGTGAGGTGCTTGTGGCCCACCAAGGGGACTGGATAGCTTATTAACAATGTAAATAAGGTACATGGTACCTTTGTGGAGGTTGTTGTTGTTAGGTGCTGTTGAGTTGGCTCTGACTCACAGCAACCCTATGTACAACAGAATGAAACACTGCCTGGTCCTGCACTAGCTTCACAATATTGTCTATGCATGAGTCCACTGTAGCAGCCACTGTATCAATACATCTTGTTGAGGGCCTTCCCCTTTATCACTGTCTACTTTACCAAGCTGACAACATGACCAAAGTACAGGAGACAAAGTGTGGCCATTCTCACTTCTAAGTAGTATTCTGGTCGTACTTCTTTCAAGATTTGTTTGTTCTTCTGGCAGTCCATGCTATTTTCAGTATTCTTCGCCAACACCACAATTCAGATGCATCAATACTTCTTCACCCTTCCTTATTCATTGTCTTGCACATGAGGCTATTGAAAACACCATGGCTTGGACCAGGTGCACATTAGTCTTCAAAGTGACTCTTTGCTCTTTAACACTTTAAAGAGGTCTTCTACAGCAAATCTGCCCTTGCAATATGTCATCTGATTTTCGTGTCTGCTGCTTTCCTGGGTGTTGATTGTGGATCCAAGAAAAATGAAATCCCTGAAACTTTAGTCGTTTCCATTTATTATGTTGCATATTGGTCCAGTTGTGAGGATTTTTCTTTTATTTATGTTGAGGTGTACTCCATACTGAAGGTTGTAGTCTTTGATCTTCATTAGTAAGTGTTCTAAGTCATCTTAATTTTCAGCAATCAGAGCTATGTCATCTGAATATCACAGGTTGTTAATGAGTCTCCCTCTAATCTGACACTGTGCTCTTCTTCATATAGCCCAGCTCCCTGGATTATTTGTTCATCATACAGACTGAGTAAGTATAGCGAAAGGATACCATCCCACCGCAAACCTTTCCTGATTTTAAACCATTCAGTATCCTCTTCATCTATTCAAATGACAACCTCTTGGTCTACGTGCAGGTTCCTCATGGGAATAATTAAGTGTTTGGAATTCCCATTCTTCTCAATGTTATCCATAATTTGTTATGATCCACATAATTGAATGCTTTTGTATAGGCAATAAAACACAAGTAAACATCTTTCTGGAATTGTTTGCTTGCAGCCAAGATCTATCTGACATCAGCAATGGTATCCCTTGTTCCATGGCCTCTTCTGAATCCACCGTGAATTTCTGGCAGTTCCATGTTAAAATACTGCTGCAATAGTTTTTGAATTATCTTCGGCAAAATTATACGTGTGTGTGATATTAATGATATTGTTTGAAAATTTACACATTCTGTGGAATCATGTTTCTTTGGAATGGGCATAAATATGGATCTCTTCTAGTTGGGTGACCAGGTAGCTGTCTCCCAAATTTCTTGGCATAGATGAGAGAGAGCTTCCAGTGGTTCATCCACTTATTGAAACATCTCAACAGGTATTCCATTAATTCCTGAAGCCTTGTTTTTTTCCAATTCCTTCAGTGCAGCTTGGTCTTCTTCCTTCAATACTATTAGTTCTTGATCATATGCTACCTCCTGAAATGGCTGTACATTGACCAATTCTTTTTGCTATAATGACTCTGTATATTCCTTCCATTTTCTATTGATGCTTCTTTCATCATTCAATATTTTGTCCTTAGAATTCTTCAATATCACTACTTCTGGGGATGGGACCATGCAAATAAAGTGTATAGAATCCTAATGTGGGAAATGGTCAATAATGCTATTCTCTAGCCTTAAATGATCCATCCCAGAGGTGGAAATGGGGGATTTCACTGGCATCAAGAGAAAGCCTGATATGGAGTATGCCCTTGGACCCAAGAACCCCTCACTAAGATGGTGGCAGAGAAGCAGCAGAATCAAGAGCTGGCATGAGATGAAGCGGTTGTGGCTACGGGCAGGAGGCTTGCTGGAAGACTGGGGTACAGCAATCAGCAGAGCTAAATGAACTTTGTAACACTTGCCCAAGCAGGGCAGAGGCCAGGCCAAAAGCCAAGAGCCAAAGAGAGACATGCCTGTGGGGACGGCAGAGGGGAGGCTATCCTGATCAAAGAATTGTATGCTGAGCATTCCTGAACCTGAATTGTAACCTGTTACTTCCTTAATAAGTTCCATAATCTTGAGTATTGTCTGTGAGTTCAGTGTGGCCACTGCAATGAATTATCAAACCCAGAAAAGAAGTAAAGAGTGCCACTGTGAGAGGGATGGTTGGTGTCAGAACTGGTAAAAAGGTTGGAGGGTGGCAGCATGTCTGAACTCTGCCTTATAGGAAACAGCCTTGGGCTGTTTGATGCTGCTGATGGTGATTTTCTCTCCCCGACTGGACTGCCGCCATGTCCTTTTTGCAGTCATCTTGACAGCCCTTTGTTAACAGGATAGAAATCCACACTTCACTTTGTAGTCTCTGCATTCTCTGCCTCTTGCTGTCAGAGACAAAGCAGGTACTACTTGATAGCTGCACTTGCCAACAAGGTACCAAACCTTAACAACTTTGGATTTGATTTTATTAAGGTAGCACACACCATCTTAAGTTAAACAGCAATAATATCCCAACAATGAGATTGTAACAACAGGACCATTCTTTACTTTTTCTCTTTGGTTTAAATTGTTAGAACCACACACATACACCAAAAAAGCCAGAATTAAAGCTTCTATCTCAACTTTCTTCCTGCCATGATAGTGCCATATCAATACTGTTATTGATGTGTTTCTTAAAAAAGAAAAGGTGAATTTCAGGCTCCTGACAAGATAGAGTACATATATGAATTTCTCCTTATTCCTTCTACTACACAGATATAAGAACTGTGGGCATTATATATAAAACAAACACAAGAAGACTCAGAAAGGTAGAAGGAAGAAGGCCGATAAATTAGGGACCCTGGGAATCAAAGAATGACATAGTAGTGCGCTCCCTGGTTTTTCTTTCTGTCTTTTACATAACTCACACATACTCAAATGAATGCATGTAAACTGGTGAAATCCAAATAAGGTTTGTAGATTGTACCAATGTCAATGTTCTGGGTTTGATAATGTACTGTAGTTATGTAAGATGTTACTACTGGAGGAAACTGCGTGGAGAGCACACAGGCTCTCTGTACAATTTCTGCAACTTCCTGTGAATCTATTATTCAAAATGAAAAGCCAAAAAGAAGGAAAAAAGAAAGAAAAGCTTTGAGAAGAGAGATTATCATACCTGAGCTGATGCAGCTCATGTTGCCAGAAGTTTTCCTGCCTGCACTCTTCTTGCATAATTTGAAATGTTTTTGTTTTATCTTGATATTCCTGAAGTTGAGCCTTCAGTGGACGTAATTCAGTGACCTCCTGGTTAATCTTTAAGTATTGCTGCTGCAGATTCTTCAATTCCTTCAGCTTTAACCAAAGGAAAAGCAAAAGGGTAATTATCACTTCTCATCTCATTCACCTAGCTATCAGTCATTAGTAGCCACCTGCTAAGTGCAGGCTGTCCCCAGTTACAAATCACTACTTGCTTGTAAATATTATGTAATTTGACCTACCTTTGAAATGATTGAACCAACCCTTACTCCCAACAATTCTTCATCACAATTACCTTCATGTGCTGCATGTACACCTTTTAAATCACTGAAAAGGCTGTTCAAGCCTTTTCTTGCACTAAAAACAAAACTCACTGTTGTTGAGTTGGATCCGACTCATAGCAACCCCTCCTTGGGTTTTCAAGGCAGTATCACTACGGAAGTCGATTGCCCAACCTTCCTTCTGAGGAGTGGCTGGTGGGTTTGAACAACCAGCTTTCTGGTTAGCAGTCAAATGCCTTAGGCACTACACCACCAGAGCTCCCTTTCTTGCATTAAAGTAAGGCTAAATAAGAACTGTTCCAACTTACCTACAAATTTGACTTAAAGACACACTTAGGAACTAATCTCATTCCTAACCTGAGCACTGTCTGTAAGTTAGACAGCACAACAGACTACCAGCCTCTAACAGTCCACTGATATATCACTACGGTATGAATCTCTAAAATGGTGAAATACATGCAACCCGGTTGGTGAAAATCACATTATGCAGCTGACCATGGGCCTAATCATTCCTGAAACTTTTATCCCTGCTCTCTGCTACCCTAAACCTTCTTCAGATCTATAACTCTGACATGGGACCTACAGCTTCTTTGTGAGTGATAACTCCCTAGAACTAGAAGTGTAAAGATGTGCCCTAGTTAAGCTTTCTTACTTTCTTATGTGGATATGAACTTTAACTCTAACTTAGCTGATGTTAATTATAAAAGCAGGCAGTGCTGCCCAGTGGTTAAGAGCACTTAGGTCCTGGAGTCAGACAATTCTGCCACTTCTAGGTTGTGTAACAGTATACATGTTCCTCATATCCACTAAGTTTTAATTTCCCTCACTCATAAAATGAACACAATTACAGTATTTCCCTCATGAGACAATAATGATTAAATGAGAAAATTAGTGCACTTTACATATAGTAAGCTTTCAATAAGTTAGTGATAATGATAATGATAATGATAGACTTGTCTTCAATTTTTAAAACTACTTATCTACATTCCAAATATATCTTCAAACTTTTAACTCCAACACTTATTAAAAGGTTGGTAGTAAGAAATAATTGCAAGATATCTGGACAAAGAGGGAAGCCTTGAACACACACATTGTGGTGGTGAAGTTTGTGTGTCAACTTGGCTGGGCCTGGTTGAGTGGCTGGGCAGCTGGTGGTAGTTATTCCCCATGATGAGATTGGTAATCAAGTCCATAGTGGGATCTACCATAAGTAGCTGAGTAGCTGCTTTAGGAATATGGTTTACTTCCTGTATATAAGGAACAGGTTTGGGAATGGTCACTAAGCTTATGGTATGCTTGAACCCTGCATGTAGCCATGTCATTGTTCAGCAGCCTGCCATGCTCTGCTGACCCTGAGACTTTCAATGGACTTAAATTCATGGTCTGCTTTGTGGTTTGGTAACATCGAGACTGTGCCTTTTTACTTGTCAACCTTGGGCTTGTCAGTCTCAGCAGCCAGCAGCTGTCTGAGTGAAGAGAAGCCTCTAGCTCCAGTGAGCTGGGAGCAGGAGACAGCGCTGAAGCCCAAAGTTGAGAGGTCTTCACCCAGCCCCTAGAGCCTGGCACTTTGAACTCAGACTTAAAGACTCCAAACTGTAAGAAAATAAACTCCTGCTTGTTCAAGCATCTCATTTGTGGCATATTCCTGTCAGAGCAGCACTAGTTAACCAAAACACACATCTCTTCCCCACTCAAGAAGTATCATTAAAGCTACAGAAAAGGCATTATTTTTTTAAGCATGAAACACAAGAACAGGAAGAACAGTCAGCAACAACAAAATTTTAGAAGCTGAACAGATGATCAGTACATAGTAACTGACTTAACAGATCTGAGAAAGCTGAATCTTAAGCTGGCAGTGGCTGGGAAGCTGGTGGTAGTTATAAATGTTCATAGCCAAGAACCAGTTGGACTTACTCTGCAGAATCTTCAAAAGGCTCAGGAATTAACAGCACCAGGTACTTCTGGAAAAGATGGTGATGGGAGTGTGAGGAGGTGGTAGCTGAAATGAGGAGATTAGATGAAAGCTGTTTAAGAAATGAATGTATTCCTAGATCCTCTCCTCACCTCCATACTTTTCATCACCCTCAAAACAATTAGTTTAATCCTCTGGAGAAGGTAAAATAGAAGTGTCTCTGGACTATGAAACACAAGACACAGGTGAAATTAAGGGTATATGCTAAAGCAAAGGTGATCAAGTGAATGAATGGGTATTTTCTGAATACTGAAGGATTTCTCCTATGTATCTTACAGAAAACTGGAACACAGGGCTTTACTTTCCAGATAGTAAATAAAATGACTTCACTAGAAAATTTGACCGTACCAACATGGGGACTGCGCACAAAGCTCAGTAAGATCATACTGCAATGAATGCACAGTTGGCAAGTCCCAACCATCAGCTCTTTAGATTCTACCTTAAATATGAACACAACACAAAGGATTAACCCTCACCTGAAGAATGACTAACATCAAAGACAGAGACTCAGAGACAAAAAATCAGAAATTAGCAGAGGAAAGAATATAATTATGCAAAGTTTCAAGAGAGACTATTAGAATTTAGAAACATTATAGCAAAAATAAAACATTACAAAGAGAAGTGCACTATAAGAAAATGCCAAGAAACAAAACTACCACAACTATCTCTGGACAGATAAGCGACAAAAATATATCTTGGATAAGGAAAAAAACAAGTCCTTAGAAATTAAAAACATGATAGTAAAAATGAAAATGTCAACATAGGAATCAAAAGAACAAAGTAGAAAATCTCCCTGAAGTATAGCAAAAAGAATAGAAAAGGCAGGAAAGCTAGAGAACCAATTCAGAAAGTTCTATATTTAAATAGTAAGATACTCAGGAAAAAAGATAACAATGGAAAAAAAAATATTTTAAAAAATAATTCAAAAGAATTTTTTTGTCATACATGACTTCTTAAGTTTAAAGGAAGAGTCACCATGATGAATGAAAACAGACTGACACCAAAAACATTAGTAGGAAACGTCAGAACATAAAGGACAAAAAGATTCTCTATATTGTGAAAAGGGGGAGGGGAAAGAAGAGAGGGAAAGAGGAACAAAGAAACAGAGAACATATAAAGAATCAGGAATCAGAATAGCTTCAGACTTCTGAATCGCAATGCAAACTGAAAGAAACCAGTGCTGTCATAATTTTGAGATGAAATTATTTTCAACCTAGAATTCTATACCCAGGGAAACTATCAATGAAGTATGAGAAATACAAAGATCTTTTCAATAAATCTGCCTATTATGTACCTTTTTGGGAAGCTACTGAATGATTTTTTCTACTGAAATAACAGCACAAAACAAAAAAAGGGGACGACACAAAAGAAAAGAAACAGAAGGTCCAATATAGGAGAGAGGTAGAGGGAAGCTCTAGGATGAGGAAGGGAAACATTCTAGGATGAAAATTGTGTCCTAGGAATACAAGGCAACTGGTTCAGGTAGGAGCAGTTCATGAAAATTTTCTTTGTGATGATGAAATTGATAGAGTATCTAATGTAAATAAACCTCTTGAAGAGGAGACTGGAGAACTGACAGTAAATCTGGGGTTAAATTACATTTGTAAGAACAAAGAAAACTAAGTAACAATAACAACAAAGCAAAAACTCAGTTATAAACTCTAGAAAGATGTTAAAAAAAGAAAAGCAATCCATCTCAGCTCTAATAGCATTTCATAGTTGTAAAAATATAACCACCAAATATTGATTTAACCAAAATTAAAATTAAATCACATAAGGAGAATGGGGGATAGTTTTTATGTTGAAAATGTGCATATATACTCTGGAAGCAGAGAGAATAAAGAGAGCTAAACTCTCATGTTAGCATAATGGACAGTCAACAGTTAATGCAAAGAATGAAATGTCAAAATGAAATATAAGCATGATATTAAGATATTGAAGAAATACCAAAAGTATGAGCTAAAAAGACTGAAAGAGAAGTAGGTTTGGGAGTGCTGCTATTTATTTTTCTCACTAAACCTTGTAGAATTTAATGATTCTTAAAGTATGTGTTTCTTTAACTTTATATACATATGTATTATGTACATAAACACACATAGAAAGTTTTGTTTTAAAACAAAAACATATTTTTTATGCAGTCCACTCACTCCTCTAGTGTAGAAACTCTATAAACATTATCACTGAAATAGATCAAATCATCAGAGAGCTGGGTGTCTGGGACTGCATTTTATGCCTTGGTTGAGGTACGTTTAGTGAATTGTGCATAGTTCTTCTGCTATGCACTTAAATCAAACCAAAACAACTCACTGCCATTGAGTTGACTCTGACTCATAGCAACCCCCATTGGGTAAATCTTCACGGAAACAGATTGCCTAGTCTTCCTTCCATAAAGTGGCTGATGGGTTTGAACCACCAACCTTCTGGTTAGCAGTAAAATGCCTTAGGCACTATGCTACCAGAGTTCCTTTGTGCTTACATCAAGGGACGACTAAACAAAAACCCTATAAAGCACATTATTATATTTATTGTAGAGAAGAATGTTGTTTCACAAAAACAGTACTTTCATGAGAACATGCATGTCATAATAATTACTCTTGGTCTTGAGCAGATGGTTTGTTTTTCTTTTCTTTTTTTCCTAAATTCATGTACATGGTTTTGATTCTCTGATGATTACCACAAAGCTAAGAAATTAGCAGCTGATATTTCTAACAAAATGTACAGGACACTGTGACAACTCCTCGGGACATTGACCTTACTCCTGGTTTAGTCTTTTCTCTCCTCTCCTCATTTTCTCTTCCTTCCCAGTTGGCGTGATTCTGTTTTATCTTATTAAACTGTTTCTA